GATCATAAATAAAATCGTTTTAAATTACTTCTTCATTTAAATTATAACAATTATTTTTGGTTTTATATTTTTTTGGATCAAATCCATTTTAATAGAATTTATATACTATTCATCTATAAGTAAACACTACCGTATATTATTTTTTAAGCTATCTTATTTTTGAACTTTTATTCAAATCTTTGGTCGCAAGAAAGAATTGCATGATAAATAAAAACATTTAATCAAGTCAATTTTATTTTTCATATTCAAATGGACTGAGTGTTAACATTTAACATTTTTTGCTGTTGTCGTCAAAAATTAGGCGTAAAGCAAAAATTGATATTTCATATGGTTTTATGATAGATAAGCATTATATTCCCACTCATTATATTCGTAAATTTTGAGGTTTATCCTTCGCTTTTAAGATCATTGAATTTGATTTTATATAAAATAGTTATATATTAGAAAATAATATGAGTTTATGTGATATTATTTTTCAGAAGATTTTGTGTTCTTCTTCAAAATTTTACTTTTTTATTAAAAAGAATCTTTACAAAATATACATTTACTTTAATTAATATTTAAAAACGTGCTCTATCAAAAGTTCCAAAAATTCAATATTTTAGCTTTTCTGAGGTGTCACTTTTGATGAATTTCTGTTTACAACACTACTTAACTTTTTGAGAGAATTTGGCTTTTCATTTTTTATTATGAGTAGACCAACCATTCCTTCTTGGTGGTTAATTCAAACACGCGAAAAACCTGAATCTCGCGAACTCAATTATTTAATTGCGTGTAAGCGAGTTCCATACGAGGATGAAATGAAGTGTGAATTTAGATCAATTTCGAAAAACACACTTAAAGCAGCATACACAAATGCAAACTTAACGCCCCCAAACGTTAAACCTGGTCCGGCACCAGATGATATTACTCCTGAAAATTTGCAATATGTTCTCCAAAAATTTCAGGAATATAAGTGCGGAATCCAAAAGATGTTTTGGCGTTTAAACATGGATCAAAATGTTTATTCAGTTTCCTACAATAAACTCAGAAGAATTTACAGTATTTTGGAGATCAAAGAACCAAAAAGTGACAGGCCCCCTCAAAAATATTATACGACATATGAAGCAACAAAACCTGATACCATATGGCATGTAGATGTTCATTTTTTATACGGTTCACAGAGGTTACCTGTTTATGGTATAATAGACGATAAATCTCGGTTTTTGTTGGCTTTAAAAATTTTGCCAAATAAATCTTCCGAATCTACAACAAGAGTTGCCGAAGAAACGATTGGCTTATATCAAAAGCCATTTTGTTTCTGGTCCGACAACGGGGGAGAGAATATGGGCCAATTTTATAATTGGCTCATGCGAAACAGCATTCAAATCCGCCACACTCTCCCCCATATGCCGCGCCAGAACGGCAAGATTGAAAGGCTCTGGCCGTCTCTTGAAAGAAATGTCGGCCGGTCTTCAAATGCAAAACAAATTCAAGAATTTCTTGATAAATTCAGGAAAAATTACAACTCAGTACCACATAAAACCCTTCCCAAAAAGGGTTTTCGCCCCATGACTCCAGAAGAGTGTTACAATGAGACACCACATTGGAAACAGGGTGAAACGCCATTTTGGAGAGTTATGATTGATGGACACTTCGAAATCAAAGAAATACCGAACCATTGAATACACAATTACGAATAAACGCTTAATTTTTATAAAAATCTTATTACATTTTTCCTGAATTTTTAAATTGTACAATAAAGATGGAAGGCTTTGGGGTACATATTAATATAATATACCTCAAAGCCTTCCATCTCCACTACAAATGGGAGAAACTTTGTCCGAATAGTTTAACATTCGGACAAAGTTTCTCCCATTTTAAGAAGGAATTGCAGGGTAAGAGGTACATAGTATGAATATATACCTCTTACCCTGCAATTCCTTCTAGAAAGTTCCAAAACTTTGGGTTAATTGCAAGACATTAACCCAAAGTTTTGGAACTTTCAAGTGGAGATGGAAGGCTTTGGGGTACATATTAATATAATATACCCCAAAGCCTTCCATCTCCACTACAAATGGGAGAAACTTTGTCCGAATAGTTTAACATTCGGACAAAGTTTCTCCCATTTAAAGAAAGAATTGTTCCTTATGAGGTATATATTCATACTGTATACCTCATAAGGAACAATTCCCTCCTTAAAACGAGAAAACTTGTTCGAAATTGTTTATCATTTCGAACAAGTTTTCTCGTTTTTAATAAGAAATTAAAGAAAATGAGGCACTGATTATATATTAGTGCCTCACAGCCTTTAGTTTCTAATAGATAGCTGGGAAACTTTCTCCAAATGATAAGTTATTCAGAGAAAGTTTCCCAGCTATCAAGAGGGAATTGTTCATTATGAGGTATATAGTTATAATGTATACCTCATAAGGAACAATTCCCTCCTTAAAATCGTAGATATTTTTTGCTTATTACTCATGCTTTCAAAATCACAATCCTCTGAAAAGTTATTTTTTATTAAGAATTTAGAATTTTGATAAATACCTTTTTTTCAATTTGATATAATACTTATATATTTTCAAAAAGACATTTTGAAAAGATATCTCAAAAGTTCTCTGAAAACCTATTTTTGATTAATTTTGAGAAATATCCGTATTAAATTAATCAATAAATTCATTCAACACTACTTTAATTTTTAAATTCAAAAAATTATATGTGCTTCTTAAAATGTCTCACAAAAATTTTATTATAAAATTATATACAATATTAAAAATCCCACAACATTTTTTACTTTACATAATCGTACATCCTCGACGATTAATTTCCCCTCAATTCCTATCATTGACCGAACTTAGCATGCAACAAAATCTCATTTTGAGGCATTTTTGGACATGAAGACGGGTATTGTTCCACAGCCAACGCCTACCCAAGCATGGTTCTCCGCTATTGAATGTTTTAAGCCCCTGAATCAAATTTCTTCCACAATTCCTTCCGGACTTATGATTGAAGAGTCTCCATTATCATTTCCATCTGAGCTGAGGAACATTAAATATCTTACAAACCCTCTTCCACATCCCCCTCAAGACATATGGTAGAAAGAGCTTTTAGAGAGCTAGGCTTGGCACGTCCAAGGGGAAAGACAAGATACTTAGCTCCCTTTCCTAACCAAATATGGCACGTTGATATCCACTTTCTTGGCAAAAAGAGAAGTCAGATTCTTTATGCTGTGATTGATGACTGCACAAGGCTCATCATAGAATGGCAGCATCTTTCGTCAAAATATGCTAGCCAAACAGTGAAAGCAATTAAGAGAGCAATAGCCCGATATGGACCACCACATACAATTTGGTCCGATAATGGCGGCGAGAATAAAGGCGAGTTCCTAAAGGCTATGAGGGTTCGGGGGATCAATAATGTATATATTGTCCCCCATTGCCCATACCAAAATGGGAAAATCGAGCGCTTGTGGCCTAACATAGAGAGCAGAGAGTTGTCATGGGCAAAGATTCAAAAATGGGTTGAGTACTATAATGCTAAACCTCATCTAGCATTACCAACTCATTATGTGAATCGAAAACAAATTCACTATAACCCATCTGAAATGTGGAAGAAACTTCCAATTTGGAAGAGGGGAATGCCAGCAAAATGGATTGTGGATGGAGTCTCTCAAGATTTTCTTCCAGGTTCACTTATGACCAATGAGATGCCAGAGCTCCAAGGAATCGAAGAAGATGAATGGGAAAAAGAAGACGAGGAAGTTGAAGAAGAAGAAAATAAGGCGAATCCGGTTGAAATAGAAGAAGATAGTAATGAAGAAGAAGAATACGAAATAAATTATGAAGAAGAATATCAAGAAGATTATGAAGACCCTTATGAATAAGATTATGATGATTCATTTTAATATTACGAATAAAATGTCACTTTTCTATTTTTGACACGTAACGTTGTCACTTTTCTGTCAAACCGTTTTTATCGTTTTCGTATATAACAATTCAATGAGAGACTTGCAAACAATGATTGAATGTTGTAAACAGAAATTCATCAAAAGTGACACCTCAGAAAAGCTAAAATATTGAATTTTTGGAACTTTTGATAGAGCACGTTTTTAAATATTAATTAAAGTAAATGTATATTTTGTAAAGATTCTTTTTAATAAAAAAATAAAATTTTGAAGAAGAACACAAAATCTTCTGAAAAATAATATCACATAAACTCATATTATTTTCTAATATATAACTATTTTATCTAAAAATCAAATTCAATGATCTTAAAAGCGAAGGATAAACCTCAAAATTTACGAATATAATGAGTGGGAATATAATGCTTATCTATCATAAAACCATATGAAATATCAATTTTTGCTTTACGCCTAATTTTTGACGACAATTAGCAAAAAATGTTAAATGTTAACACTCAGTCCATTTGAATATGAAAAATAAAATTGACTTTGATTAAATGTTTTTATTTATCATGCAATTCTTCTTGCTAATTGTCGTCAAAAATTAGGCGTAAGCAAAAATTAATATTTCATATGGTTTTATGATAGATAAGCATTAGATTCCCACTCATTATATCGTAAATTTTGAGGTTTATCCTTCGCTTTTAAGATCATTGAATTTGATTTTTATATAAAATAGTTATATATTAGAAAATAATATGAGTTTATGTGATATTATTTTTCAGAAGATTTCATTCTATATGCCTATGAAAAGTACTCTCAAAACTAACTTTTCCTAATTATAATTAAATCTAGAATATTGTATTATGCTTAGTATTATTTCATTTTTCTCATTCAATTTAGAATTTACAAATGTCAAAAAATTGAGAGCTGTCACTTTTGATGAATTTCTGTTTACAACATGAACAATCAGGTGCAACAGAAGATTGGGAAGAATTATGGGAGAAATATAAAGAATTACCAACACCTAGGTCATACATGGAAGTTCATATCGTTGCAAGAAAAGTGGACTTTAAAGAAATAGAACAACAGAAAATGGCGCTATTTTAGTTCGTTATAAATGAATTGGCGAGAATATGTAAGTAAAGGTTGGGGAGCTATTAGAAGAGGCTTCAGCGATATCAAAGCAAGAACAACAGATCTTACACACCAAATCATGAAGAATTACGGTGATAAACCAGCAGAAACACTTGGTAAATTAGCTTCAGTAGGTAATGTACTTGATGAAAGAATTGGTAGGATTTCAATGAATGTTGGTAATGCAGGTCAAAAGCTTGCAGAGAACTTATTAGGTAGAGATAACTTCATTACAAAGGCAATGAAGAGTTTTAACAAGGGTCTTACTGGAGCGATTATAAAAGATGATGATCCTCAAAGGTATGTTGACAATAATGCATACAGAGCTTATACAGGAGGTTCAAATTGGAGAACAAACAAACCTCTAATGGGTCGTGTTAGAATATTGAGTGATATGCCTTGGATTGACCATTTGAACCCTAAGGAAGGAATAATACGTACATAATGCTTATTTTATGTGATAGTAAATGAGTGAAGAATACACATATGATGACTTTTACAGCCTTGTGAAAGACAGTATGACAGAAAAGAACAAAATTTTTCCAGGGATGAGTTTGGAAGAAAACATTAAACATATGGCTCAGGCATTATATGATGCTGATGGAACATTAAAGATCCATATCGTTAAGCCTTATTTTGATAAAGTCAAGGACAAAGACATGAAAGATTTAATTAGAATTGGAGTTCAGTTTTCTAGGTTTATGCAATGGCTTGGTCATGTAGAAAACCCAAAAGAAATAAGTAAAGTCATGAAAGGTAAAATAAATGACTGGTTCCTTAAGTTTTATACTAATCCAGAGAGTAGAAAGCCTGAAGTGCAAGAATTAGTTGAACATCTAAAAGAATGGACTGGTTTTCCTATGAGCATTGTGAAGTATAGGTCTGACGTGAATAAACAACATCCACTTCACTGGCATAAATTCGATAACGCATATTATGATAAGAAATATCATGATGTTTATGAAAGGAGTTTGAAACCAATACAACCAATAAAAAAGAAAGACTTTAAAGAGCATTTCAATGAAGTTGTGTCATATCTTGAAAAATCGCTCAATAAGCTTCATAAAAAGCATGAAAACACAAATCTTGGCAAATCAATTAAGCAGGATGATAAAACAAGTGATGCATTAAATAAATACAATGACAATAGAAATATATTAAATCTTGCAAAATTTTATAGGAATGAGAATAAATTGATGGGTTCATTTTTTGGACTTGATCGTGACCCAAAAAATGAAGGTAGACCCGAACTTAATGGATTTTTCAAACATATGGCAATTCATAAGCTATTAAATCATAAGCGACCTACCAACGATATTCTACGAAAAGTGATGATTAATGATATATCAGATTATCCAGAAGATTTTGCTCTAGACGAAGTAAAAGAGGAATCAGCACCAGTTACCCTATTAGAGTTCGATAAATGGTTCAAAGAATCAACAAAAGACTTAGATTTGAGTAAAGAAGCTCTAGATAATGCTGAAAAAGTTGCTTGGAATAAGTTCGAGCTATATTCTAATGATGAGCATGGACGAAGTATAAGAAAAAAGTCAAAGAAAGATAAAGAGTATGCACAGAAAGTATCTCATGATGTTTTAAGTCCAATGACATTAAAACAAATGGCAATCATTGAAGAAAGTAAGTTGTTGGAAAAACAAGGAAAAGGTAGATATAATGAAACCATTAAGAAAGCAATTAAATCCCTTAAAGATCCATACTTTCACACATATAGTGAGAAAGTTCATTTAAAGGACAATGAAGACATTGATAGAGAATGGGTTAAGAGAAATTTCTTAGCTCCAATGAATCCTTCAGTACTTACATCAATGTTAAGAAATCCAAACAGCAGTCTCGGTTCAATTGCATCACAAATTCATGAAGGAGGTGTTGATCATTATTTCTCAAGAGATAAAGGTCGTGCAAGTGAAAAGAAAAAGAGTGATAATGCACGAGTCTGGAATGAGCTTCATTCACAATACATGAAATCACTAGGAAAGATAAAAGGAACATATCTTGCAGAATTAGACAAAGACATTGATGATGCACGTGGAAGACTCATTGATTATACTAAGAAAAAGACAACACCAAACTTTAAGGCTTATACACAAGCTTATAACAAACTTGTTGATAAAACAAAGAATATACCACAACCTTTAGTACGTTGTTTCCATAAGTTAACTAACATAGAAGATATGAGTGGTGAGAGTAGATTCAATGAAGCATTTAGGATGCCATATCCTGAAAAAATTAGAGCAACAGGAATAAAAGACTACAAAAGACTTCTTTTAGAAGAACCAAACTATAATGCAACAAAGTGGGAAGAATTTAAACAAAAACCTTCACCACCAGTACCTGAAAAGCCTGGTGTGACATATAAGAATCACACTAATCCTCTTGATAAAACCAAAAGGAACGTCATAGACATTATGAAGAGGTCTCCATCATCTCGCGAAAATGATGATGAACGTAATTTAACTGTACGTCGTAACAATACAGTAAATATCTCAATATGGACGAATGATCCAAGGAACAGAACAGACATAATTATTCATCAGAAGCCATCTAAAAATGAAACGTCAACTGAAAAGACAGAGAAAGCTCCTTTCATTGGTCCTCAACCAGAACCTTTTATACATAAGTTTGGAACATTTGCTAGTGGAATTTATAACAAATTGTTTGCGAGAAAACCTACTGCTTTATTAGACGTTGGTAATCCAGTTGTTGACAAACCACTGAGACAAAAAGCTGTTGTAGAATATCAGTTCCCACGTTCTCCATACATTCCTCCACCGAAAGAAAAGGCAATGCCATTGACAGCCGGACCATTTATCGGTCCTCGACAACAAACTTTAAGAGAGAAGGCTTGGGAAATAACTCAGTATACTTTTAACAAATTATTTACAAGGACGGAAAAACCCAGTGCTTTATTTGATCTTGGTAATCCAGTTGTTGACAAACCGCTGAGACCAAAAGCGATTGTAGAATATCAGTTCCCACGTTCTCCATACATTCCTCCACCGAAAGAAAAGGCAATGCCATTGACAGCAGGTCCATTCATTGGTCCTATGAATAAACCTTTTAAAGATAGGGTTTGGGATATTACTAAAGGAGTTTATAACTGGATGTTCCCTCCAAAGAAGCCAAAATATGAGGCAAAATGGATGAAACAAAGACAAATGTCTTTAGAAGAATACAAGTTCCCAAGATCTTCGATCATTCCACCAAAGAACAGTGAAACTGCTGTTGCTGACACAAACCAACCAGTAATTAAACCCGAGCCTAAAAGACAAATGTCTCTAGAAGAATACAAGTTCCCGACAACTACAATTAAATCAACAGCTGTGAAACAATTAGCACCATCAGTATCTGGTCCTCCACCAGTTAAGAATGTTCAAGGAACAGGTCTTCTAACACATCAAAACAATCCTGTTCCTTCAATATCTATTGAACCAAGAGGAGGCATATCAACTCCAAGACCAGATATTGATGAAGCAATTGCTGGAAACGTGGATCATAATCCTGATATTGTTAAGCATACCATTGAAATCTTTGGTGACGGTACACCTCCAAAGGTTACATCAAGTGATGATAAGAAGAAAGATGATAAGAAGAAGAAAGTGAAGAAGATAGGAATTGGTCAAAGAATCAATAACTTCGTTAACTTTGTTGATAGAGCAACAAATGTTGCAAGTAGAGCTGTTGATGTTTATGATCGTGCATACAAATCATTCTATGGCGATGGTACGGGTGGTGACAAACAAGAATACCCAGATAATGATGAAGAAGTTCCTACAAACAATGTTAAACCTAACTGGGTTTCACCAACTTTGCAAAGACAAGGCGGAAGAGTTGCATTTGAATCAGCTAAGTTAGTTAAGACTGATGGAACAGTAGTGAAGAAACATCACAAGAAAAATAGAAAGATTAGAAAAGTAAAGAAGTAAATTTTTTATCTCGTATAAAATGACACAACAATTAAGTGCTTCCATGAAACAAAAGATGTTGACAAATTATCTCAAAGATGGTACAGTTCCTAATGGCTTCTATGTATACACAATGAAAGATGGACGTATACAATTCAGACACATCAAACAACCTTTAGATGAAGAAGGTATCAAACGTAAGATCAAACAATATGAAGCAAAAATAAATGAACTTAAGTCAAAGCTCACTTCCGACCAAAACCAGGGAAACGTTTCAGAATGTCAGGCATGTTCCGATCAGTAATATAACCATTATATAATCTTTCTCTCCACCATCTTACTTCCATTGGAGACAATCTATTAGAATTGCCTTCTCTCAAGTATGACTGTGGAACTAATGTAGAACTTCTATTACCTTCATATGTTATTCTATACTGATGCTTCGGAAATTGATCGCTTGTATTACCGGACTCGAAGGTATTTATTTTTTCGACAATTCTGTGTCTATCGTTATCAATGGATTCTTTAGGTCTTGCATTATGATCATCAACATGTCTGATCCATAACTGAAAACGAGGGAATGATCCAACAGAATGATCTGCAGCTTTCATTAAATATGAATGACTATCAGCTGAATCAAAAGTAATGTATTCTGCTGTCGGTCTCAAACTTGATTCACCTCCTTTATTGGAAAGTTTCTTTTGAACTATTTCAAACGCTATTCTGACCAACAGAAAGGTTGAAATCTTTAGTATTCCTTACATTACTTTCTTTTTCCATCATCTTCTTAACATATCCTTCATTATTAGCTTCACTGAAATCTTTTGGTTTAACATCTGTACTACCATGAATAGTATTGTTATATTTCTTCAAAACTTCATCCATTGATTGCACAGTGAATGGTGGTATATTATCTTCATAGATGTGTAGATCAAGATGTTTCTTTAACTTTTGACGTAATGTTTGGATAAACCTATTAATTATACCTAATCTTGAATGATTATATTTTTGTGTCGTTAAATGTTCAATACCATTGTCTATCATAAGTTGTTGAACCTTATCTTCTTTATATGCACCATCTTCATCACTTGTCATAATTTTTGGAGGATTATCATTCTTTGTGTCATTAATGAACTTCTTCAATGCTTCATAAACAGATACACTATTCTTTGTTTGCATTGGGTATACAAAACCTTTCCTCGTATTAATGTTAATGAACACTAAAAAATATGGTGGATTACCTGCTCCATTAATTAGTGTGTCAAATTGGTATGCATTCATATCTGTTGAATATTATTGGAAGCATATACTGCTTTTGTCTGTAAGCCTTAAACAAACTCCCAAACTTTGGCATTTATGATTAGTTAAATTCTTACTGGCATTGAGTAATCACTATAGCCATCATGATCGGCGTATTCATGTAATCTTGCAAACTCTGACTCTTTCTGACTTGGTTTATGGAACCTACCTTCATCATATAAGTTCATGTAATGATTTGTCACATTTAGTTTAGATCCATACTCTGCATATTGAGGATATGAGTAATGATACACTAAGTTGAACCCATTACTCCCATCATCAACATAAATCCTTGGTGGAGGTTGTCTTATTAAGTTCCTTCTTTTTGGTGCATTAAGTTTCACGATCTGATCTAGATCATTGTAAACAACTCCTGTTGCAGTATATTCTGTGTTGTTCTCTGGATTAATGTTTGTCATTTATAAGAGAATAAAACAATTTTTACTCATAACAAATGAGATCGAAGTCAATACTTTATGGTGCAGCTAATGTTCCAATTGAACCAACAAGTAATGTTGATTCAAGAACAACTAATAGCATTGTGATAAAGAACTATCCATCTGGTACAGTTTCTGATGCTCCAACAGAGATAAAAAAAGTGGAAACAACTACGAACTCAGAAGCACAAATGTATCCTCCTCCTTTAAGTCCATTAACTTCCAACCCGATTTTATCGAGATCTGTGGAGACTTCATCGAGGATTGCTGTAGAAGAGTATTTACTTAGTATATACCAGAAGATACTTCTAGACCAAGACAAAGAGCTCTTTTCTAACTTAGTGAGTAAAGATCAGATCTTACTACCTAAGCCAGACTTGGAAGAAGTAGTTCACAGAATGACTGGGTTCAAGTGTGAAATAGACCTACTGGACCCAGACATCACATGTTGTGGTATTCCACCTCCAATACAAAAGATCGCTCAGATCAGAATAATGGATGAGAACAATATTGCTCAAGAGTTTAAGTATGCATATAATGCTCAATATACTGAGTTAATAAGTAAGTATAATTTATGTCTTATGTATGTGATCGTTTAACCGAAAAGTGACATTTCTGTCAACCATTTGTAATATCTGTCCAACACTTCTTCAACAGTATCGAACTTGCCGTCATAGAACAAATCTACTTTAATAGAATTCGTAGAGTTTTCACTCACATAATATTTATCGGTTCTTTTCACAGACATAATCCACTTATTTGTTTCATCAAATAATAGCAACCAAGGTTCATTACCTAAAACATATCATTCATACTTTATGTTTTTAGCTCTGAGTTCTTTGGCAAGTTGTTCCATTTAATACATTATAAAAAATGAATAAAACTTACCGTTTACTCAAAATTATTTTTAGTACATTTCAACGTACTTTTTGATCTTGTCAAGAGCTTCGAGCATCTGCTTCTTTGCATTGTGCTTGGCGAAGATGGCTTGCTCAATGGTGAACTCGAAGGCTTCTTTACCGATCGGTTGGTGATCGCGGAGATCTTTGAGTGCATCAAGAGCTGCAGTGTACTCTGATGGTAAATGGGAGCCATCAATGAGTGGACCAAGGATGAGCATGTACTCCTGTAGTAAGTTCTCCTGTTTCAAGCGGGACTTGAACTCTTCGCGGAGATCTTGAAGCTTTTGGAGCTTCTCAGTTGCTTGAAGGTAGTCAATGATGACCTTCTCTTGTTCCTCAAGTGCTGGTGGGAGGAACTGGACATAAGCTGTTGGCTTCATGAGAAATGAAGTGGTCATGACACTTTTTCAGTTAATGGGCTACGAAGAAGACATAGCTTATGTGAAGAGTTCAATGAACCTCTTAACGAACGTTGTTGTTGTATTCTTTTGTATCAACTTGTTCATTGTTCTGTTGGTCATGCTCCTTTTTTTCTGCGAAGTCCACGGGATGATCAACCGCGATCTCCCAGGAAAACCATTCCGAGGTCGGAATACAGATATAACAGATCTACTCAAACACAATTAATCTAAACACTTATTTTTACTACCATATAAATGATTTTTACCAAACCTCCTTTACCTTTCATAGGTAATAAGTCTAAGATCAGGAAAGATCTTATAGACATACTCAAAGACATCAAAGGAGATTATGTCTTCGTTGACCTCTTTGGTGGCTCTCTCTTTATCTCTCATCTGTTGCATACTTTGTTCCCAAAAGCAACGATTATAGCTAATGACTATGATAACTACGTTGATAGACTGAAACACATTCATGACACGAATGAAATACTTAGAGAACTTAAGGAGAGAATAAATGTGAAGCCAGATGAGAAAATTCCTACTGATCAGAAAGAGATCGTAAGAGAAGTACTAAGTAAAGCTAAATACTTAGACTGGAATACATTATGCTCACGTCTTCTCTATTCTGGAGCATATAGATACTATGATCTTGTCACATTAATGAAGAAAGTGTTATACCTCAGATATACTCACTTATTTGATGAAAACATAGATGACTATCTTGAAGGTTTAACAATAGTTCATAAAGATTGGAGAATACTCTTCAATGAGTACAAAGATCTTCCCAATGTTTTCTTTATATGTGATCCACCATACTTCCATACTTATTCAATACAGTATGGAGATGAATGGACTCTTAAAGATACTATTGAAACATTTGATGTCATGTATTATCCATCTATTTATTTCAGTAGTGACAAATCTTATACAGAAGAACTTATAAAGATCTTGTCAAAAAGATATGGAGAGAAATTTTCTGTGACAAAACATGTTATAGGTAGAGGTTTAATTAATCCTAACACTCAGAAAAACAATGAAGTAATACATGTCACTTTTTCCATTAATGGAGAAGAGGAAGATAAAGAGGATAATAGTTGATGAAGGAACTGAATTTGAGAAGATATACAACTTTGACGGTAATGGTTGGTTCACAACTATTACTGATAAAGATGGAGAACATTTAAGACCCAGAAAGCCACCAAGAAAACTTTTTGATCTCCCAAAAGCTAGGAAACCAAAGGAACCATTTCCGGTACCAGACGTCCAAGAACCAGAGAGACTTTTGATACCGAAACCTGTGGATGACAAATATGATCCAGATCAGTTCTTCCCAAAATACCTTTATTCTGACTTACTGATAAAGATGGAGAACAAAATTCTGACTTAATGGTTGGTTCACAACTATTACTGATAAAGATGGAGTCAGAATAAAAACTCCTTTATTTCTTTAGTGTTATATAATAAGTCTATTAGTAAGCTCTGTTTTCGTTCTGTTCTGGTGTTTTGGCGTCGTTTCATGGTTTCGCATAATAAGATCATGAACTTTTTCTTGAGATACTCAAAGAGCTGAGGTAAGTTATCATACTCTGGGTATGTAGGAAGCATCTCTGCTATCGTAAGTGTTGTATCAATAAGGATTTGGCTTATATCGGAAAAGTCGAGATCTGATCTCGTATAAGAAGGTAAGTCTCGAACATGTAGGTACTCGTTATATGCTTTACGCATGAGGTTTAACTTCTGGAGTACAACTATGAGACTTTGGTTCTGACGTTCAAGTTTGCTTAAAGTTCTCTCCAAGCTTCTGTAATAAACGTCAACCTCAGTAAGAACTGATATTTATGCTTTGGTCTTGGAGACCTTCTCTTGAACTTCACCAAGTTTGACCTTAACTGACGTTTGAGCTCCCATCATGTTTTCATCAAGGTCATTCTCTATGTTATCAATGATATCTTCCAATGGGGTCTTGTTTTCATCATTGATCTTAACGTGATCACTCATTAAATAAAAAAATGTTGCATGCTAAGATCAGTCAAAATGTAAACCTCTCAATTTTATCGTCGGGGAAAGTATCTCAATTCCTTCAAAAAATTGAAAAACTATTTAATTTTAAAAATATTATATTTTTATTTAGTTAATTAAATGGAGAGATTTTTTAAAAATCACTTTTGATAATACTTTTGAGAACTTTAATTAAAAAAATATATTCAAAAATATCCAGGATATCAAGAGGGAATTGTTCCTTATGAGGTACATATTTATAATGTATACTTCATAAGGAACAATTCCCTCCTTAAAACGAGAAAACTTGTTCGAAATTGTTTATCATTTCGAACAAGTTTTCTCGTTTTTAATAAGAAATTAAAGAAAATGAGGCACTGATTATATATTAGTGCCTCACAGCCTTTAGTTTCTAATAGATAGCTGGGAAACTGTCTTGTCAGAGAAAGTTTCCCAGCTATCAAGAGGGAATTGTTCCTTATGAGGTATATAGTTATAATGTATACCTCATAAGGAACAATTCCCTCCTTGAAATCGTAGGCATTTTTATACTTATTACTCCACCATTCAAAATCATATTGATCTGAAAAGTTATTTTTATTAAAATTTAGAATTTTAATAATTATAGAGTTTGAATTTCATACAATACCTATATATTTTCAATAATGGAATTTGAAAACCATTCTCAAAAGTTCTCAGAAAACCTTTTTTTCATTAATTTTAAGAAATCTGAGTATTATATTAAGTGATAAATTCATTTGACACTACTTTAATTTTTAAATTCAAAAAATTATATGTGCTTCTTAAAATGACTCACAAAAATTTTATTATATATTGAATGATTCCTATCAGAAAATCAATCAATCTAAATTTCCTCCAAGGATAGTTGTATATAGTATGCATATAATACGTATACATTGTTTCAAGACTTTACTGAAACTTGTTGTATGATTTTGTAAATTGTCATAAAAATCGTAAGAATTCTGAAATGTTTCTACTATAAGATATCATAGTATACTTGAATATAATACGTAGACATAGTTTCAAGACTTTACTGAAACTAGACGTGCAAAATTCAACACTTGACCATTTATTTTTTTTGCAATTATTTGTAAATTTATAAATCAACAAAAATATTTCCGTCTTCTGCTTATATTTGAATAGTTTACACCGATTATTACGTCATATTTTTTGGAAAAGAAAAATCATGGAATGATATTCTTGTTAATATCCTGGCATCTGATTCATTTAAAGAGATGTTACTATAATAACATATATAGATAATATAATACTTAAACATATACATATGATATCTCTGAAGTATATATTGTATTCATGGTTTTGTTCCATTGTCTGTTCCGTCAGTAGCAAACACATATTTTTGTTAATATCTCAATACTCAATTGATATTGCTCTACTTTAATATGCTCATATGATAGTATATATACTATATAAGAATACTATGTTTGAATAATCGAAATCTGAACAGGTGTAGGAATCTCGAATTATCCCCAAAATTTCATAAAATCTTAAAACCAATGGTATATATGGATTCCTCATATAGGAAAATATGGTGGTAGGCTTATTTGTATACTCGAGAATTTGGTAATTAAGACTTTTTTGATGCTCCCCATTTCAGAGTCACATGTGATATATCTAGCAACTGCGCTCTGATATATCATACCTACAACTTAATCATCTAAGTCCTTATCATAATCTAAAATAATTGAATTTTTCAAAAAAATCTATTTGAGCATGCATTGACAATCTAATTTAAATATCTATAAAATTATGTATAATAATTAAAAAGAGATTTGCATCAATTTTTGACTTTGAATTTTTCTAAGATAAATATATTTGGATGGTGAAATATATTTAGAATAGCTATTCTTTTAATAATTCATGTTTAAAATCAAAAAGAAAATTGCCGCGAAAAATAAGAGTAAGTGTTACTTTTTGTCACTTTTTGTAAAGTTCATTTTCGGAACGGAATGTCTCATACCGAAATGGTAAACGAAAAAGTTCCATTTTTTGGCGCGCATTTTTTCATTATCCTAATTTATATAGGCCTATAATATTCTCATAAATTCAAATATATTTCTATAAATATAGATATATAAATATTCATTTCTCAAAAAACTTTTTAAATGGCCCAACGAAAAAGAACTATTTCGAGCCGAGAAGCATTAGTTCAAGCAAATTTAGATGCACATGATGCTTTTCTTCATGGTCGTATTAAAGCTGAACAAATTACAAAAGAGTGGTGTTTTGTTTCGTACCGAAATGGCTCACAAAAAAAGTGACAGAAAACCTTAAATTGCGCGGCAATTTTAATTAAAAAAATAAACATTAATTTTTGTGATTGATATTATGCATTTTATTTATATTATATAAGATTTAAATTTAGGGGAAAAATTGGGAAAAAAATAAGATTGGAAGTCTTTAGGTAAGAAGGAAAGGGCAAGAGATATATAGTGTACCTATATACCTCTTGCCCTTTCATTCTAAGTAGAAATGGGAGAAACTTTGTCCGCATCATAACTTATGATGCGGACAAAGTTTCTCCCATTTCTAATGGGAATTGCAGGCTATGAGGCACTGATATATAATCAGTACCTCATAGCCTACAATTCCCTTTATTAGACTTCCAAACTTTGAGTTAATGTCAAGACATTAACTCAAAGTTTGGAAAACTTCTCGTAAGAATCAATCGTCAAAAACCTCGATTGCAGTTATATTCATTGTGTTAAATTTGATTTATTTTGAAATTTTTATAAATTAAATTTTATATAACATAAAGCGTTATGAATTAGTATTTCCATATGAATTTTATCTCGAAAATAGTAATTCTGTACAGTTATATTTCGGTTAATTTTGGAAATTTCTAGGAATACTTTAAGATAGTATGATTATATATAACTCTGCCTTCATGATTTATTTTAGCTTTCGCGCAAATATCAGTTAACTTAACTCCATTATTTGATTTTGTGATGGCTTCACAAAGCCAATCAATATCAATCTCTTCTGGAGAATGTCTTCTCATCTAGAATATTTTCAATACTTTACATACAAACATTTTTATTTCTAAAAAACTTTTTAATTTTTTCTAGGATATATGAATGAAAATAGTTAGAACAAGATTTTGAAGCTCAAAACATTAAAAATTATTAAAGATTTGTATAATATGATTAAAAATGGGAAATAATATGAGGCAATATAAAGGAATATGAATATTAAATAAATATATCTAAATAGAAAGAATCAGAAAAATCAAATTATTGGCGCCAAAAAATGTCACTTTTTTTGTGAGCCATTTCGGTATGAGATACAAAAGAGTGGTGTTTAAATACATTGACATTATTAGAATCTGGATAAAATTTAAAAAGAACACTCAGAAATGTCGAAATTCAAGATTCACAAGGAAGACGATATATAACTTCAACAATTTCAAAGCCCACATTTTACAAAGCTCTCAAATTTCACAATGTTGTAACAAAATTCAAACCAGAAAGAAAAACAAAAGAATTACATCCTCTCATAATTGAAAGTATTGACAATATGAAGAAGATTACGGAAAAATTACCAGGGATTAATTCAATTATCAGTAAAATGAGATCAGATATAATTATGGTGAGACAAAACCGCGATCAATTTGAAAATATTAAATCACAAATTAATATTGATGATAAAAATTCAATTAAAGATGCTCTCAAAAATTTCAATGGTTGGTTTTATCAAATTGACAGAGAAAATTTAACATCAAACGATACAAGCATTATCCCATCCCAAACAGTCGATTTTACTGATATCACACCAACTCTCATTTCGGCGGTTTATTTGAATCCAGATTGTCCTTTTCCTTCATATCGTGATGGAATGAAATACTACAAATTATTTATAAACCAAGAAAATCCACCTCCAATTGAACCACAAGAAAAAATCACTCAATATCAGGCAAAAAATATTTTTGAAATATTACACTGTGATATTGATTATTTTCGTCATGAAATTGGAAATTATTTGTATTTGATAATCGACGATAGAAGCCGTTATATCATCGATTTTCAATTTCTTAAACAAAAATCTGCAGCAAATACAACTTTTGTTGCACAAAGAGCAATTAATGCATTAGGTTTTGCACCTTTTGCATTTTGGACCGATAATGGTCTCGAAAATTTTGGAGAATTTCAAAATTTTCTTGATCGAAATCAAATTGAACATATAACAATCACTCCATATTCGCCTCGCGAAAATGGAAAGGTCGAGTGTATATGGCCTGATATCGAAAAACACTCAAGTAGCGAGTCGGATGTTATAATTTGGATCAACTTTTACAACAACAAGCCACATTTGCAATTACCAAAGAACCCAAACACAAACACAAACTTT